TGTGTGTGTGGTTAAGTGCCACATAGTCGGTTTGGACCCATAGTGACCCTGGATGGGGTTTCTGAGGAGCAGCTGGTAGGTTTGAACTGTTGATCTTGTGGTTCCATGTCCAGCTACAGCACCATACCATATATGCACATGTTGTTTTTGTTGTTAAGTGTTGTGGAGTCGGTTCCGACTCATACAGACCCTGGATGGGGTTTCTGAGGAGCAGCTGGTGAGCTTGCACCACTGACCATGTGGTTCAAACCGACCTTCCAGTCTAGTGCTTTATCCTACAGAGCCATACCATACGTAATTTTAATAGAATAATAAAAAGTAGACAAATTTACAAATTTCATTCTAAGAATTTGATCTATTAAGAGCTATTGAAGGTTTTTGAACATACGGATAATTCCTTGGTTACTGAAAAAGATAAATTATGGATGAGTTTGTATTGTTTATTTTTTTCTTCTTCTCTTTCATCTTTAATGACATTCCACAAGTATCCATTGGCATATGGCACTAGATTGATTATTATTTTGCTTTTTTGCTTCCGCAGAACTAATCCTCAAACAAACTACCTCAATTAGTTGTTTATTAAGCTTATTGTCTGCTTTCCCTTCTCTACCTCCTCAGTGTGAGAGCTACAGACATTTTTTTCTGTTTTCTCCACTGATGTATCTCAAGCACCTGGAACAATTTCTGGCACAAAACTCAAACCAAATGCAACCCACTGCCGTCGAGTGGATTCCGATTTCTGGAGAGACAGAGCAGAACTGCTCCACAGTTTGTGAGGCCTTAAATCTTTTGGTTGCAGACAGCCTCATTTTCTCCCATTCTGGCACAAAGCCATGTTAAATAATGTTGACTGGATTACAATTCTAGTCCCAAAACTGAGAAGAACTCAACTGCTAAAGGAATAAAATAGTCGCTTTACACGCACTTTTGGAGTTGAAATACAACCCCAGTGTCGTGTCCCTGGTGCCTTTGAATGTTAGCTGAGTTCCTTCCTTCATTCAACTAATTGTAAGGAGCACCCTCTCGCACAGGTTCTAGAGGGTGCGGAAAGCAAGTAGCAATCCCTGTCTTCCGGCTACTTACAGTCTGGTTGGATGTGAGTGGGGCGTGGTCTTAACCTGTCTGTCTGGCTTTGCAAGAGACTAGGCAGCCCTCGGGGCAGCCCTGGGGCCCCCAGGCCCAACCAAAACTCAGTCTTTGCTCTTTCTTCTTCTCCGAGCAGATTGAAGAAGGGGGCAAAGCAGACTCTGTGCGCTCCAAACTGCAGGCTGGCGACGAGGTTGTGCACATCAATGAGGTCGCGCTGAGCAGCTCGAGAAGGGAGGCTGTTTCCCTGGTGAAAGGATCCTACAAGACCCTCAGGCTGGTGGTACGAAGGTAGGATAGGCTGACACCATCCTGTCCCTCCTACCACTTCACCTCCACTTGCTCCTTGCCCTGACTACACTTTCAGGAAAAGCGTCCTGGTGGCCAGGTGCTTTTAAAATCTCTGTGCATGGATTGGTAAACCTTCTCCTCTCTTTTTTCTTTCCCACCTAATGGGATGTGAGGAGGAAGTGGGGTGAAAACAAGGAATGTTCCATTTCAGACACTGTTGCTTGTCTTTTGAAACACTGACTTTCTCAACAGCTATCTGCCTGGTAGGATTATAACTCACGTTATACTTTCCCCAAATGTGGTCAGAGCTCTACTAAACTTCGTCTCATTGTGGGACTAGAGAAAGCAGTTGGTTTGGAAGTTCAGGTGGCATTCCACTAGCTTCAGCCACACCACAACTTGTATCCAAACAGAGCATTCCCCCTTTTGTCTACTGTACTGCTTTTTGATAGCAATGGTGGATGGTTTCTCTGTTGAAAAGACTTGAGTTGTAATTGACTTTACTGTCTTAAAAGAACCGTCATACTCCCAGGATCAAAATTTTGTGGAGTTATTGTTAATATTATTATTTTGGAGTCCTGGTGTGACGCTGTGGGTTAATGTGCCAGACTGCAATGCTGTTTGAACTGCAAGGTTGGCAGTTTAAGCTCACCAGCTGTTCCTCGGAAACCCTACACAGGGTCACAATGAGTGGGAATTGATTCCACAGCACTTAACAACAACAAATTACAAACAAGGATGTGGCATTTTAGGAAACACACTGGACTGCTAACTGCAAGGTTGGTACTAAAAACCCACCAGCTGCTCCTTGGAAACCCTGTAGAGGGTAGCTATGAATCAGAACTAACTCAATGGCACTTAACAACAACAACAACACCATTACAAACCAGGAGTCCTGGTGTGGTGCTATAGGATAAGCACTAGACTTCTAATGGAAAGATAGGTGGTTCAAACACACCAGCTGCTCCTCGGAATGGGAATTGACTCAATGGCACATAACGACATCATTATGAACCTGGAGTCCTGGTGTGGCACTGTAGAATAAGCACTGGACTGCTAACATTAAGGTGGATGGTTCAAACTCACCAGCTGCTCCTCAGAAACCCTATATAGGGCCCCTATGAGTTGAAACCTCCTTCACGGCACTTAACAATAGTAACAATTACAAACCACGGTGTTTGTCCTGTGGTTGCACGTTTGATCTGCACAAACACCCTGTGAAATGGGTACAATGATCCCCAGTTTGAGTTAAGTAACTTACTGAAGGTATCAGAGCTGATAAATTAAAGAGCCAGAATAGTCTAGATGGGCCTAGGCCTACTTCATCATGGTGTTTGATACAATGTTACCTTCCCCTTCTAAACCTTTGGTTAACACTACTATACTAACTAGGTTTAGGCAGCTAAGTGTTCCAATATTTGAGAATGTTGAAGTTGGCTGGGATTTTGTTGTTGTTAAGTACCATTGAGTCGCGTTCCGACCCATAGTGACCCTGTACAGGGTTTCCAGAGAGCAGCTGGTGAGCTTGAACCACTTACCTTGCAGTTCAAACGACTATGCAGTCTGATGCATTAGCCCACAGCGCCACACCAGGATTCCTGGCTAGGACTTTGTTGTTGTTAAGTTCCATTGAGTTGGTTCTGGCCCATAGCGACCCTATATAGGGTTTCCAAGGAGCTTGAACCACCAACCTTTCAGTTCAAACGGCTTTGCAGTCTGGCGCATTAACCCACAGTGCCATACCAAGCTGGGACTTTAGAAGTCTCTGGCAGTGTAGTGGTTATGAATCAGGCTGCAAACCGCAAGGCCAGCAGTTTGAAACTACCAGCTGTTCCGTGGGAGAAAGATGAAGCTTTCTGCTCCCGTAAAGATTTACAGCCTCAGAAACCCTGTACAGGGTCGCTATGAGTCGGAACCGACTCCATGGCACATAACAACAACAACAAGTTTGTGAAAAGCAAGCAGGCCTTCTCATCCCACCAAAGACAGTCTTCTCTGGGACCATTCTCTTCTGCTTCATTCATTCCTCATTCCTCAAATGCTTACAAAGTTACTCTTTGCTCAGTTGAGCAGCAGATCCTGAAAACAGAAAAAAATGTAGTTATGGGAAAAAAAATACATATATATAGTTATGGGTCCAATGGTTTGGACTTGTCTGCTAATCCAAAGGTTGGTAGTTCAAACCCGCCTAGCCACACAGCAGAAATAAAGTCTGGCAATCAGCTTTCAGAAGATTACAGGCCAGATAACCCCGTGGAGCAGTTCTACTTTGCAACACATGGGGTCGCCATGAATCCGATTCCATGGCAACTTGTTTGTTCTTTGGAGTTGGGTATAACCCACCCACCATGTTTCTATGTTTTCAAGATTCTCCTCTCATTTTACTGGGTTGGGTCTAGGGTATCTTCTTGACCAGCTAACTAGAGGGTTACTTTTCTGTTAGCCAGTGATTCAGAGTAACTTGAAACCTAGGCTTTAGAATCACATGACCTAGCAGTATGAACTTGGATTCTATTTCCTCATGCTGAAGGGTTTGCTTACTTTGTTGTGGTAGTGGTGGTGGAAGTGGTGGTGTGCAGTGGAGTTGATTCTGACTCAGCAACCCTGTACAGGGTTTCCGAGGCCGTAAATCTTTGTTGTTGTTGTTGTTAAGTACCATGGAGTCAGTTCCGACTCATAGTGACCCTGCACAGGGTTTTTGAGGCTGTAAATCTTTATGGGAGCGGAATGCCTCATCTTTCTCCCGCGGAATGGCTGGTAGTTTTAAACTGTCAACCTTAAGGTTAGAGGGCCAATTCGTAACCACTACACTACAGGAGTAGAAAGCTTCATCTTTCTTCCATAGAACAGCTGGTAGTTTCAAATTGCTGACCTTGAAGTTAGCAGCCTGATTCGTAACCCCTATGCTACCAAAGCTTCTTCTTGTTGTTAAGTGCCGTCAAATCAATCCTGACTCATAGTGAGCTTATATCGATTTCCCAAGGAGTGGCTGGTGGGTTTGAACCACTGATCTTGTGGTTATTCTTATCGTTGTAGTTGTTGAGTGCCACTGAGTCAGTTCTGACTCATAACGACCCTGTATCGGGTTTCCAAGGAGCAGCTGGTGGGTTTGAACTGCCGACTTGTGGTTTGAAGTCCAGTGCTGATCCTACAGCACCATACTAGAAGCCCTTAGTCCAGTGCTTATCCTACAGTGCCAGGCCAGAACTCCTTACTTAAATGGGGATTGAAATAACTACTTTACAAGGTGACAGGAAAGATTAAATTATATTTTACATGGTGCCTCCTGGTAGCAATAGTTGCTTTTGCTGTTATTTATGTCATTATTGGCCAACTCTGCGCATAAGACAGGTTTGAATCAAGAAAGCAGTCATCTCAAACATGGCGACCCAATACTCAAACAAATGGGTATGAAAAATTTAGAACCATTAGACTGTTTCATGTTCCTAGAAGTGTTTTGAAAGCTTTGAACTTAACCTTGGCACTTGAATCCAAAGCCCAACTTTGTTGTTGTTGTTGTTGTTAAGTGCCATCGAGTCGGGTCCGACCCATAGCGACCCTGTACAGGGTTTCCGAGGGTGTAAATCTTTACGGGAGTAGAAAGCCTCATCTTTCTCCCGCGGAGCGGCTGGTAGTTTCGAACTGCTGACCTTAAGGTTCGCAGCCCGATTCGTAACCACTACGCTACCAAAGCCCAACTTTGGAGCATTGGAATTTATCTGTTTAATACTGACAGTAAAATCCAGATTCCTGATGAGTGTGACAGGACTCTGGTAATAGAATGAAGCCCAGACAGAGCTGTCCTGTTTCCTGCTATAAAGAACAGCCATGTTGACTTTAGATTCTGCCATCTGTATATTTGTTGTTGTTGTTAAGAGCCATCAAGGTGATTCTGACTCACAAGGTGGTCCCGACTCACAAGGACCCTGTATAGGGTTTCCAGGGAGCAGCTAGTGAGTTTGAACTGCCGACCTTGTGGTTCAAACTGACCTTGTGTTCTAGCATTTATACCACAACACCACACCAGGACTCCTATATATAGTGGTATGAAATTTTAATTACTTCTTCTGGCAGAACCTTTAGAGGAAGACAGTCCTGAGGCTAAAATCTGTCCTTGTGATTTGTAAATAGTGTGACCTTGGGCCTCTTAACCTCAATTTCCATTTGTAAAAGGAAATAATTCCAGCTTCAAAAAAAAGTGAGTTGTGAGGATTTAATGTGTACAGTACAAGTATATTCAAATAGAATTGAAATATTTGACCATTATTGATCTTAATCATGTTAGAGAGAGGCATTTGGTGATATGGAGGAGCATGCTGCCGCATTATCTAGAAAGCTTTCATTGCCTTGGGGGGAATGTACCATGGTTTAGTCTGGCCCCCAGTCTGACAGATCCAGAAATTGGCCATTAACAGTATCCCTGAGCTCCTGGATTTCTGGAATATTCATTAACATTATCCGAATTCAATAGAAGTTGAAGGATATAAACCAGAATGCTAATACATTAAGTTATTTTGAAAAACACCACTGTAAATAGAACAAGTACCCCAAGTAGAACATGAGTCAACCAGTATACTTTATATATCCTTACAGGAAAACTAAACAGGAAGTCTAATTATGATCAGGGGATGGCTTGGTGATCTTGGACTCAGAATGGAGAGAATGTATGTGCTGGCATCTACTCTGATCACGAAAGCTCATCTCCCCATGAGGGGTACATCTGTTAGGTGGCCCAAACACTCCCAGTGCATGTGAGTGAGAGCCCTTCCCCCACTGGACCATAGAGAATCACTCAGCTAAAGTTCTCCTCGAATTTCTCATTTCTTCTCTTGGGGTCCATACCAAATCCCCGTTCTGACTGACACATTCTTTCTTTAGAGATGCTAATGAAATCGATAAGGTTACTGAGGAGTTCTTGTACTCTCTGCTTCTGGTGTGGGAAACATTTTGTCTCTAAGATGCCTTTTGAATCTGTCTTATCTCATCTATTATGGTTTGAT